CCGTGTCGACGCCTTCCATCCTCCTGTCGCAGATAATCCGCTGCTGAGTTGGCTTGTCTTGACTTGGCTTGACATTGGCTTTGGGTCGACGTCCCGCTCCGCTTCCATTTTATACGGTTCTGAAAAACCCCCTTACAAACCCCTTACAACCCACCACCCCCCATCTATCGTGGCTTTATAAGCTGCCAATATTAAAATGATGACAAGTTTATGGCAAAAAGGCAAAGGCTTCGTCAGGCGAGGCAGCAACGGAATATTGGTAAAATGGTACAAAAAAAAAAAAGATATAGATGTAGAACCAGAAGAGAAACAGATGAGCGAAGGCGAAGCGAAAATGCAATTCATGGCAAGCTGATGTCTCGTGGCTTTATTTATAAGCAACCCATCAGACCGCCCATCCCACAGCCTTGAACAATGAGAATTACAAAATTCCTACTGCCTTCTATTCCCTTTTCGCCCAAGTGATCACGAAATAAATACCAGCATAACTAAGTGACATTTTATAAAGGTCGTAGTTCTGTCAAATTTTGAGTCTAATCATGTAATCTCAATTAGAAATGGCCATATGATTTCGACTGACTAGACTTATTTTTAAAAAGCCATGGAAAAAATCATCCACACTTTATACATTTATTTATTATATTAAAGTATACACGTTAAGGTATTTAAAAAATCTCAATTTTTCTGATATTTCTCTATTATTATTTTTATTTTACTTAAATTACATTTAATTTCCGATCTTACTCTCTATATTTATTTAAATTAAGCTTTCTTTAAGATTTTGTTCTTTGATTTAATCTTTAAAATGTTTCGCTCATAAGTTCAGAAAGACTACATATGAATCTATTTTTCGTAAGAAAAAAGGCCGTTAATTTTAGTTCTGAATTTAAAAAACCGACCTAAAATAATGACAGGAATCGGTTTGGTGACCCACCAAATTGTCTTCTCCTGTTGGAAAAAAATTTACGAACTTCGTATTTGGTTCATTTCCAAGTTCTCCTATTGCATCTCTAGTGCAACAAGGATAGCAGCAGGGAAAAAGAACGAATTACATAAATAACTGCGCAGTGTTTGTGCCATTTTGGTTGCCACATTTGAATAAAATATGAATAAAAACCGAAATGCATTTAGTTGGATGGCGGAAGGGAGTCTAAAGTGGGGTAGCAGCAGCAGTAGATATGGGGAGTGGGAGGGGTTGGGTGGTAATATCTTTGCGGGCCTTGGCAGTAATACCCACAACCCCCACCACTCACAAGTGGCTCGACCAGTTTGTCACCTTTTCGCTATAGAAAAGGTCTTATAAAAAGACGAGACTCGTCGTCGTACTCGTTCAAGGGGATTTGTTCCCTTTTCCCGCAATTCAATGCACTGGGAAATGCAAAATTAGTTGCAAATATTAGTTGGCTTTGTAAAAATGAATTAAATTAAATTCAAATACCTACTTAGAAATTATAACAAATATTTCTTAGTAAATTAAAATCTTTTCTAAGCAAAAAATTCTATAAAATAAAAACATTTACAAAGGAGTGGAAATTGTATTGCTACATAGATATTTCTAATTTTATAAAATTAAAAATAAAAAATCGAAGGAAACCCATTTATTTAAACATTGATTTTAATATTTAATTATTTTTCAATAAATTGCAAAATGTTTAAGGTAACTATGAGAAATATTGTCACTAATATCCCCTTTTTATCAGTGTAGTTTCTCTTCGCGATTACCCCGATACTCCCCCTGCTACTCTGTCTTCCTATACAGATACGATAATATTTGCATTCAGTTGGGCCTCCTTTCCCTGCCTCAAACTCCAAACCTTCCATTACCATTCCTGTTGCAGTCTATTTCTTTTTTTATTTCGCTGTCAAAACGTCAGCAATGTCGTCCTCTTACTCGGCCTCATCCTCGCCCTGTTCCCGATCCTGCCCTGGCTTGGAGTCCTGTTCCCATTCCTGGTCTGCCCAGAAATCGTTCCGGAGCGCAGCGTTCGCTTGGCTTAATTTTGGCTAGGGAAAAGTGCATAAAAAATCTGCGGCGAATTTGCAATTTGAATTCGAGTCTGGCTGTGACCTCTTCCTGTCTCCTGGTTCTTTGGCTCTAAGGCTTCCAACTCCCTGGCCCTTTTTCGCATGGCATAGGTATCTATACACAGAAAAAAATTGGCAAAGGATCAAATTGAAATGTGCTGATTAATTTAATATGTTTTAAAGATCAAGTTTTTCATGTCATTTTTATATGAATAAAGATTAGGTTTATCTTATTTAACATTATTTGTTCAAAAGTTTGGTTGAACGATAAATTTGACATTATTGAGATGAAGTAATGTAGAATTGACCATGTTTCAAAACGAATTTTTTTTTTCTGTGCATGTGCTAGTGTGCCTGTGACTCCTTTATTGAGCCCAGGACATGGTTGTCCTAGTCGTAGTCGTCTCGTCTTGGAGGCCATTTTCTTCGGCATTCCCATTCCCTGCTCCCAAAAAGCCGCCTTTTGCCGAGAAGTCTTGGCAGGCAGTCAGGCGGCTATTTAGGAAGTAATTTTCGCGCTTTCATCGCAACTTTTTCTATGCTGTCTGCAGATCTTTTTGGGCACGTTATTTGTGCTCCTTGATGGGGCGTCAAAGTATGGGGATGAGAATGCGGATGAGGCTGCTCCTTTAATGCATTTTTAAAAATGCCAAAATGCGCAAATTGAAAGCGACTCGCCGCCGGTTTGCGCCGCCCTCTTTCATTTCTGTGGTCGCAAGTCCTTTTCGTCCTCGGGGTCACGTGCTCGCAGGACGCAGGGCATTCCGAGAGGTGGAGAGGTGGTTATCCTAGGGCCACACACGCAGGCATAATTTCAGCCACTGCACTCAGACTTAATGAATATTTTAGGGACAGCTTTCATATTACCTGCCACTGCATATGTTATATGCATAGATGTATGAAAGTTCGTCCACAGGACAAATGTCACAAATGAGCATCAAATGTTTGTCAAGTTACTAGTTTTTTCTTGCTATTTTTGTGCTAGCGCAAATGTCAAAGTTCATATGGGAGTAGTGCCTGAACGGGAAATACATTTTTAGGGCAACATAACCATTACTTTCTCAATATGTTGTGGTTAATATATCTTAAATTTATGCTATAAATTTTGGCTTTCCCCAAAAAGAGTAAAATAATTGCAGCAGATTAATGAATTATTATTATTCGAGTCTAAATTATAATTATTGAAACCTAATATCTATATATCTTAAGGCCGAATAAATTACTTTTCTAGTGATACAGATGAATCAATTTAGAATCAATAGAGCCATCTTGCTATTAATCAGAAATATCTGCACATCCATAAGTGCAATTTGTAATTTAAATAGGTTAAACTTCGACAGTCGCTGGTAATTTCTACAATAATTTAATTGGTATTATATTATATTACGACCCCTCCAAATTGACAGCTAATGATAACAGCCCATATTTTCACACACCATCAAAAGTCAGCTTACGGATATAATTTAAATCCACACTTATCTAACCGCAAAAAGTAATTTCAAACAATTAAAATTGGTGTGTTGGTTTTAAATTTAAATTTAAAATAAATAACTGCGTTAATTTCGTAATTACTGGAATGTTGAAGAGCTCAAGTATCATTCCGTCGTATATGCATTATACACATTTGCCATTCCGCTTGCTGTTCATTTTTTTTTTTATTCTGTTTCTGACTTGCCATAACACATAATTAAAATTACACACATTTTATATATACGTACAGCCAGCCAGTGGTTACAATTGACCCAAAATGAACTCTTTCCCCCTGCGAAAATCTCGCGGCCCCAAACCCCAAAGATTCCAAGTACAATTTAATCTCCCTGGAATTATTTTCCACCCCACCCAAGCCAAAAACCCAAAGCCCCTCCTTGAAGGCTTTCTTTATTTTTCGCTCATTTCAGCCCCCGCACCGTCCGGATTTCTTTGTATTTGTTAATAAACTCCCTGGCAGACTAAATTCAAATTACGCACACATCTTGGGAAGGGGGAGTGGGAGGGCCATTTCGCTTATAGGCTGCTCATTATGTCAGGTCTATATTCATATACGACTTGCCTTTTGCCTCTACATACCATCTCATCCCCCGGTTCCGGATCCGCCGAGTGCGTGAGTGTATTCTCATCCCGGGGAATCCCCCACTCGCCGCCACTCTGACTTGTCGTAACATTTCATCTTTATTTTGGCATTATTCCCCAGGCGCCGCTTATTGTTTTTCGTGAAAATGGCAACGGCAATGGCAACAAATTAGAAGCGTGTGCCCATAGCCCGAAACGAGATGAGTTGGCTTGTGGGCAGTTTGGGGGGTTGAGGTTATTTTCTAGTTTCCTCGACTACTGGGTCCTCGGAATACCGGCAGGTGGAATATCCCTTGAGCACCTCCGTTTTGGGTTAATTTCCCTGCCCTGCTACTTTAATCATCTAATGGTGAGGCGAGTCGCACATTATAGGCTCTATATATTCGGTTATAAGCTGCTTTTTATTACATTATTTTTGAATTCAAAATTAAATATATATCTTTAAGAATAATTTTTCAAAATCGAGCGCCGTATAGGTAATAACGCCTTGCAGCACTGAACCTTAACTGTTAAAAGCTAAGTGATGCGGAATAATATGAATTATAAAGCTTCGCAAAGCTCTTAGCTACATTAATTGGCCTTAACTTTCAGAAAATTCAAAAAGATGAAATAAATTGTATTATTTCATTACCATTCTTAAATATAATATTACACTTATTATTTCACAAGCGGTAAAAGTAAAGCTCTTTGCTACATTAATTGGCCTTAACTTTCAGAAAATTCAAAAAGATGAAATAAGTATTATTTCATTAACATTCGTAAATATGATATTACATTTATTACTTCACAAGCCTTGTACTTGTAAAACATTAATTAAAATCAAGATTTAATTATTTATATAAATAAAAAATATTTTATGATATTAAATTGTATTATTAACCCCACCCTTTAATGAAACGCCATAATTGCCCTCTGCTCTATTTACTCATTTATTTATCCCTCTGATCAATTTCTCTCTATTTAATTAGATGCAACGTGGTCAGAAGGTTTCAATTTTGGATAAATTCATCGTACAACAGATTGGTTAACAGCATTCTTCATATTTGTGCCTGCGCATATCGAGTTCACTCCATTCCAGTATTCAACATTTAGCATTCTAGGGTTCAACTAACATTCGTTATAATTTACAAAATATACGTGATAACGGCAATAATCATAATCCTTGTGTATTGTCCTCGCAGCGCATCTGTGTGGCTCTCCCCTCTGTGCAGGATCAATCAATATCTTCAACCAGGCTCCATTTCTGCTCCCTCTCTCTTTCTCTACCATCCATTTTAAAGTATTACATTCCAGCGCCAACGATTAAACATAGAATATCTCTGTATACAAATATCCAAAGGGATCGGCTCGCTCTACTTCTTCAAGCCCCATGCATTGTTACTCGGCACCGGGACTCGGCGTTGTCCGGACTCGCGGGCCAGCACCTCCATGATGCTCGTGGCAGGAAACCAGCACTGCAATTATATATAAAAGCCAAATAAGTATATGTATAACCATGTAAGTTTGAGGTAAACTCACCCTATCTTTATGGGCCGTAGCCACCACATTGCGATTGGGCTCCTTGTCGTAGGAGACCGACTCTATGCCAAATATCTCGCACAATTCGTGCACCAGCTGCCTCTTTTCGCGGTTCATCGTGGGGAAGGAGTGGCTTCTCGACCGCTGCTTGCTCTCCTTGGCCAGCTTGACCAGATCAGTCAGCGTCTCATAAACGCTCTTGGTCAGCGCTGGGTTCCTTTTGGCGAAGCCACGCACAAACTCCGAGTACTTGGTCAGGGATTTCTGCTTGGTATCTGGATTACCTGAGGACAGGGCCACAGCCAGACGACGATTCCTCTCCAGCAAACGGCATTCGTCGTTGCAATCCAGGCTAAAGAAATTTAATATGATTATTGTTTATGTTTTATATATGGATAATCAAAACTAGAGCCCTGCGTGAATCATTCAATTTTTGTTTAATTCAATTCAATGTGAAATAAATTGAACGCTTTTCTAATTCATTTCGAAATGAATGAATAATGAATTTTTTCAATTTGCCAGATTTTTTTTGTGCTTTCTTTTGAGAACAAAAAGTGGAACATTTTTAACAAATCAATGTTAACTGCATAGTAATAAAATTCAGGCAGATTTAATCACAAAATAATGGTCCTTTCTTCTTTAAAATAAATGGTCGTTTGAATTATTTCGGAATTCATGCCATTCATTCATTCAATTCTATTAAACTCAAAATTCTAATTAATTCATTTATATAAATTAAAAAAATCTAAATAATTCAATGAATCCAAACCACTCACGTTCTATTGGACTTGCTAGCCTTGGCGGGGGCCAAGATCTCGCTGAGCTCCATGTAGTTTCCCCGCGACATTTCCGCCATGGACGAGGCCAGCTGAGCGGTGGCTATGCGACTGTGCTCCCTGGCCAGCTCCTGGCAGCTGCGGCTCTGCTTCCGGTGGCCGCACTCGCACTGAACCTCCACCAGCTCCTTGCAGGGCGTCTCCGGACACGATCCCTCGTGACAGGCGGCCGCACACTTGTGTCCGCAGTTTGATCTCGGCTTGGTGCAGCTCTGGCGACAGATCTCGCCGGCCGACTGACACGCGCCCTCGTGGCACGGCTTGATGCACTTGTGGCGGCCGCAGGGCAACGGCTTGCCGCAGGCCAAACCGCAACTAAAGTTGGGCTGCGAGCAGGGAATGGTCTTGCGCTGCTCGTGGTTGCCGTGGCAGAACTTCGTGGTGAACATCATGCAGGGCGGACACGTGGACGCCGAATGGCAGTTGTGCTGCGGCGGATGCTCGCAGGGATGTGAGCGCGAGCAGGGACGCTTGCAGATGGGCTTCTTGGTGCCACAAGGCACCGGCGGATAGATCACCTCGGCGCCGCACTCGCAGTAGAGCTCCTCGAAGCTGCTGCGATAGCAGGGCGGGCAATTGCCCCTGTGACAGGGCTGATCGCACTTGTGCTTGCCGCAACTCAAGGTTCGATTACAGGGCAGCGGACAGGCGTGATCGATGTCGATGCAGCACTCGGCGTTGCACTTGTGCTTGCCGCAGCTGCGCTTCTTGGTGCAGCGACGCTTGCAGCGCGCATCGTCCGCCCGGCTGGACAGCTGGCGGCACTTGATCATCTGGTCCATGTGGCCGCAGCGACACTTCACCGCCGTCTGCTTGGGACACGGCGGGCATTGGCCCAAATGGCACTTGCTGCCGCACTGATGCGGATGCGCCGGCTTGCCGCAGCGCAGCGTCCTCGAGCAGACGCCCTCGCAAGTGGGTATGGGATCCAAGCAGCTGGAGCGCTGGGCAGGCGGTACAGGCATCTTGCCGCAAGGACAACTGGTTATCTGCTCGGGACTGAGCTTGCAGGGCCTGGAAAAAGGAAGTTGTTTAATGATATATACTTTAAAGTAACCTACGAATAGTAGAAAGAGACCCAGCTGAATGTGCTTTGCATATTTTAGCATACAATTGACTGATATAAAAGTTGAAAGCTTAAGTTTAGTACGACTTTTTTGTTGTATTTTAAAGACTTGTTTAATGCGCATATTTTAAGCAAAGGAAATAGATATTTCAGCGCAAAAAGTTTACAATTTTGTTTAAGTTCAACGAATATTTAAGAAGTTGCTAGGACATTTTTACAATTGGTTTCCAAATTGCAGTCTACAAATCTTAGTTTAAGCAAAATATATTAATTAAATAAAATTTTAAATATAACTTAATTTAAATTAAATATAATATAAATCAACGAAATTCGTCAAAATCAAACTTTTCTCAAATCTAAATTTCAACTAATTAAAAAAAATATGAACTATTTATCTAGAAAAACAACAAAGCTATCATAATAGTTTCCAAAATTAAGGTCTATTATAAAATTTCGATTATCACTTCAACTGTTCGTGAAAATTGCATAGAAACTGTACGAAGCTGATCAAGATTAAATTTAATTCGTAGGGTGGAACATGTCTTAATTACTATACAATCTAACTGGAAGCCAATGAAATACTACTTTATAAGATAGGAAGTTCCTGGAAAATGTTGTAATTAAGCTTACAGACCTATTTAATGCACTTTAGGAAAGACAGATCATTACTAAAAATATATTCTCACCTGCAGCTGCCCGCGTGGCAGGAGTCCTTGCACTTGTGGTTGCCGCAGGGCAGCGGCTTGCCGCAGCTCTCCTTGCAGGAGTAGCTGCGCTTGTCCTGGTTCTCGCGCGTGCACTGCACCTGGCGCTCCTGCTTGCCGCAGTGGCAGTGCTGCTCCACCTGCTCCGGACAGGCTGCGCACTTGCCCGCGTGGCACTCGGCGCGGCAGCGATGTTCGCCGCAGTTCAGAGCCTTGTCGCATATCTCGCCGCAGAGGAGCTCCTCCTTCATGGCGCACTGCATGGTCTTGGAGCTGCGTCCACAGCCGCAGCTCCTAACGACATTGGCCTGACAAGGAGGACAAGGTCCCGGGTGACAGAGCAAAGTGCAGGCATGGCTGCAACCCTCAATCCTGCAGCAAACTTCGCCGCAACTGTGGGCCAACTCGGTGCGCGAAACGGGTGGGTTCTTCAACTTCCCGCAGAAGCAGAGATACTCGCGCGGCAGCTCCTGCAGGACATTCTGGCAGGCGGGACAGCGCCAGCCCACATCCGACTTGGAGCTGCTCGCCCAGGTGATGGTGCACTTGAGGTGCAGCAAGTGGTAGCAGTTCTGGCACGACCACGTCGGCTGATGTGCCTTGATGGCCTCCACGCAGACCAGGCACTCCAGTCGCCGCTGTTCGATGTCGCGTATGAGTTTCTCCCGCTGCGACAGCTTCTCGTTATCCGCTGGCGGCGGAGGAGGAGCTCTCCGGGGGGATATTTGCTGCTGCTGTTGCGACTGCTTCTCGGGCGACGGCTGGGCACTCTCGTTGCTCGTATCCAGATCATCGACGGCTCGGGGAAACCCATTGATGCGATCCCTGTTTCGATTCCAGTCATCCCTTCGCTTGTTGCTGCGATGATTGTCGTAGCGCTGCTGCTTCTGCGGCCTCCGGCGATCGTTCCGCTCGTAGCGATCCTCTCGCTCGTCGCGGTAGTCAGAGCGGCGCTGCTGCCGCGTGCTTCCCGGTCGCGAATCGCGCTCCCTTTCGTAGTTGTGATTCGAGCGGTGGTTGTTGCCTCCTCCTCGCTCGGCTGTTTGCTCGGATTGCTGATTTCTGGTCCTCGGCTCATTCATGGCAGTCTCTTGTTGGCTGGCAGTGCTGTTTCCGTTTCCATTCCCATTTATTGTGGCTACTGATGGCGTCGTCTCACTCAGACTCAGCTTGGCCAGACTGGGCACAAATTCGGGCGCCGAGGCCTGCAGCTTGGAAGCGCTAAAGTCAAACGGATTGTTGCCGAACGGCGTGTAAAGACTCGAAAAGTTGCTGCTGCCACTCGGTTGTCCCGAACCTGATCCGTAGGCGTTGGTGAAGGCGGCGCTAGCGATGCCATCGCCATTCTGATACGATGGGAAGATGGGCTGCGAGTAAAACTGTGGGATAAAAAGGGAGTTTATTAGTTGTGATATGGAAATATATAGTTAAGATAGGGAAAGCTCATTTATTTATTGCAGTAATTAGTTGTTTCGACTTTTTGTTAAAACAACTAAAGTAAACTATTTGATTAACAATAAACAAATAATGCTAAATTGAAGTAAAACTATTGTAAAGAAGGGATTAAACATTTTTTAAGCTAACTCCAGAAGCGATGTTCTTACCAAAAGCTAACTAAATTGTTTAGTAATCAAAAAAATTCTATAAAAGCAACCTTTTCTCAAATCTCAACTTATAATAATTTAAATATTAACCATTAAGCTCAAAAAAAACTAGAAAAACAAAAAAGATAATTGTAAGGTAGCTATCTTGTTCCACCAAAAAGTTACAAAAATGAAACTCTATTAAAAAATTTCGGTTATCACTTTAACTGTTCGTGCAAATCGCATGGAAACAGAAGTACAGAAGCTGATTAAGATTAAATCTAATTTAGAGGGTGAAACATGTTTTAATTACTATACAATCCAACAATACAAACCGCTAAAATACTACTTTATAAGATAGGAAATTCCTAAACATTTTTATAATTCCTTTCTGAGCATGACTCACATTCGCAAAGTTGTTGGAGTTTCCGGCTGCTGCCGCCGGTGGATTCAGTCCAAAGGCTCCTCCGCCGCCGCCGAGGGCGTAGTTAGTGTTGCTATTACTACTGCTGCTGGCCAGTGGATGTTGCATGGTTCCTCCAGCATTGGAGGACGCTCCTCCTACGCCGCCACCGCCTCCTCCTCCTCCCAGATTGTGCTGCATGATGAACTGATTGAAGTTCACATAGTTGTTGTTGCCATGCGAGTTGTTGGTGGGAGCTCCATTGCAGGCAGGTGACTCATTGACACCCGATCCTGCTTCTCCACCGCCATTCGTCAACTGCTGCCAGTACTCCGCCATTGGAGATCCGCTGATCTGCCGACGCTCTCGATGATCCTGCTCCTGCAACTCCTTTCGCTGCTGCCCTGTCTTTTGCCCGCCGCTGGCTGCTGGGCATCTGCCAGCCCGTCTCCGGGATTGTCCGCAATCCACGGAGGAGTAGTCCGCTGGCCAGCAAAGCTCCAGACACGTGTGCACTGATGAAATTGGCCCCGATGGCGAAATTGTCCCCAAACGAAAGCTCTGATTGGTTGGGTTTTGGTAAATTCCTGTAACCGGTGAACGGAACGCCTCGCCGCCTGTCTCCGCGGGCACTTCTTGGCTGGTTTTGAACCGCTTCCTGCGTATTTTCTGCTTAAATTATATATTTTATATCAGCTTGTCCCTTTTTGAGAAGTGTATCGATAACAAAATTTCAGTTAGGGATGTGCCGCAGATGTATCGATAAATTGTTTGCCGTATACGGTCACGCTGAAATGCCTCCCAATAAAGAGGGTGTCTCTGCTAAAAGAGGAGGGTGTCCTCGCTACTGTTAAATGAAACACTGGTAACTTTAGTGAAAAAAGTCTGGCAATATTGGTTTAAAACAGAAGAAGAAGAGTAAAACCCGCATTAATTCAAAAATATTAACTTTTATTAGCTTTATGAGAAGGGAGGAAAATAATTAAAGGACGTTATTATTAATATAATTTAGAATCACAATATTTATAAAATATAATACTTAAAAACCAACGTTAGTATGTAAACTGGAAAAAATATTAGCTCAAAACTATTTTGTGATTTAAACAGAAAGAAACAAGGGAATTATTATAATATTAGTGAAATATTTAGATTAGAACTTGAAAGTGATCTATATTTTTACAAAATTGATTAGATATTTCAATTTTTTCAAGGAAAAACACTAATTTAAAATTGAGAAATAGAATCTGTCGAAATTTTTTAGAGCTCGACAAGTGAAACAAGTAATAAAGAAATAATTTATATTTTATGTTCATCATATGTTTTATTTATTAAGCTGTTATTTTAATAAATTACCTAATGTTCACAGTGTACAAATAAATACCGATAATGAGGCCGTAAAGACCCAGAACCTCTGCAAAAATCAGGATCAGAATCATGCCGATGAAGAGGCGTGGCTGTTGGGCGATGTGTCGCACACCCACGTCGCCCACCTCACCCACCGCATAACCGGCGGCCAACCCAGCGAATCCCACGGACAAACCGGCGGCCAGGTGAACATATCCAGTGGGCAGCGAATACTTGAGCGAAGGTCCCAGTTCACCAGAAAGTAATACGGATACCACCAATCCATATATGGCAATGATTCCCGCCATAATCACCGGAATAATCGACTTCATCACCAATTCCGGACGCATTACGGCTGTGGCGGCGATTCCTGTTCCGGAAACAGCGGTTCCATAGGCCGCACCAGCTGAGGTAAGTACACTGGAAAAAACGACGCCCATCACGCCAAAGAAAGGCGAGTATGGTGGATAGCGATCCAGCATCAAAGATGTGTCGGCTGTTTCCTTCAACTGCAGGCTTTCAATCAGCCCCATGACGTCCAGTGAACCCGTTCCATTTTTCGTTGATGGTACACCCTCCATTTTGCTAAGCTTTAGATGCTGCTAAATACGAGCTTAAAAGAAAAAACTTTTTCTAAAAGTTATAGAAATAAAACAGATAATTACTTGATTGAGAATGCTCTATATGCTTTCTGTATTTCGTTTGAATCATTCGAAACTTAAGAATCGGAAATTTACAGTCCGATTTGAATAGAAAACCGAATGGCTACTAGATTGAAAAAGTTATTATTTTGAACGTTGCAACTAAAAGCCTTTTCAAAATGTTTATGGTTTATATGATTGTATATTTATTGACTAAGCGAATTTATTGTTCGAAATTCTTAAGCTTACATACTTTAAAATAAATACAAAGGCAAGATTGACTTTTAAAACATTTTTCTATTTCAATATGGTTTTATACAACATTTTCTTAAGTTAAATATTTTTGCATCTAAAAAGTTTTACATTTTATTTGGGTTTTAAAACACCAAAAAAAAAATTTGTAAAATAATTTTTTTAACTTATGGAAGATAGATTTTTTCTATAATTTGGTCTGTCTGTGACAACCCTTTTTTCATTTTTTTCTCGTTTAAAAACTTTTAATTTTAACTTCAATTTTTTTTTGACAAAACTGATTTAAAGATTTTCAGTATTAAAGCTAAGATGAATAACAACCATGGAAGAACTATGCTTGGTAAATGCTATAATTTTGGTAGATACTTCTATCCCTCGATTCAGAATGTCCTGAGATTGCTGAGCAGGGTTTGCTGAGTGGGTGGTTGAGCCGCTCCAGGTGGCAGACTCAAAGGTCCAGGTGGTGGAGGCATAGCAAAAGTGGGAGCCATGGCTAGGGATAAAGTGGATGATGGATGAACCTGCTGAGGAGCCTTTCCAGGCGGCGGAAGTACTGCAGTGGTGGCACCATCTAGCGGACGATACTGGCACTTTTTGGCATGGGTTCGCATATTGCTCGACTGGGTGAAGGCCTGATTGCAATTGGGATGCGGACATACGTAGGGTTTGCAGCCCGTGTGATAATTCAGATGGGTCTTCAAATGATGCTTCTTGGTGAAGGCCTTGGGGCAAAGGGGACAGCTAAAAGGCTTGATTCCCGAATGCAATCGATGATGCAACGTCATATTGCTGCGATCGGCAAAGGACTTTCCACACACCGAACACTGATACGGTTTCTCCCCGCTGTGTGTTCTCATGTGCTGTTTTAGCAGCATTTTCCGGGAAAACCGCTTTCCGCACTCGTTGCATTTGTGCGGTTTTACTCCCGTGTGAATCCTTACGTGCATATTGAATGCCACTCGCTGGTTGAAGGACTTCGGGCAATAGGGACACTCGTATTCCTTGCGATTCCGATGGATCTTCAGGTGGCTACTCAGATATCCCTTATCGTTGAAGGTCTTTCCGCACTCGGGACACTCGGCCGCAAACTCCTTGGTTCCCCGATGGACGGACAGGTGATACTTGTAGTTTCGCAGCTGCGAGAAGCCCTTGCCGCAATCCGCGCACTCGTAACGCGGCGATTTATGCGTCTTTTCGTGCGCCTGAAAAGGGAGAAAAAAATAATACAAATAAATAATTATGTTTTACAATTTAGGATTGATTTTTAAGAATAATTGTTAAAATTTTACATGAGACTTTAGGCTTATAAAACCGATTTTTAATAATAAATAAAAAAAGCTTCAAAAACATGTAACATGTAAAAAGTTAGAAAGAAATCTAGAAAATATACTTTTAATTTCAATCAATTGCAAATTTTTAAAGCTCAGGACAAATATTTGTTACAAACTATTGACCATAAATAAATCTAAGTATTTTCGAAGAGATAAAAAACCATAAATTCTTAATTCAGCAATTCTACGTTTTTCGAGAAATAAAAATAACTTTTTTTTATAATTGAGTTGGCAACTGAAATTACTGTTCTTTCTCTCCGTGGCCATTTTGTGAGTGCCTCTCGCTTGCTCTACCGACTGCCCTCTCTTTCTAACGTTTAATATCTGGTAGCTGCTGGTGGCTGATTGCCCTGCACCCATGCGTAAAACCAGTTCTCTCTTTCTTGGCCCGCTTCTGTTTTTGGCCGACTCCATTTTGAACGGATCGTTTTCGAGATATAATTTGCATAAGGCGCTCGATTCTCCGCCGCTCTCTCTTCAACCTTTCTCTTTGGAGCTCCGCCCTCTGGATCTTTGGATCTCTGTTTCTCCGCTTTTGCTGAGGCCCCGCCCTATTCCAGATGGTATCTCGGGTTGGCTAGGAAACCCGTTTTGGGTGGATCTTTAAGGATTGGATGAACGATATTTCATTTGATGTATGGCTATATAAAAGGTTAATAATGTTCTTGCAATACATTTTGTTTTCGAAAGAATTTGATTCCTAAAAATGTTTTAATGCAATAGCATTAATAATACTTAAACTGGTGTGAACAATTTAGATCGGCAGTAATCCATTAAATGTTTCCCACAATCTCGTTTTGCATTGCGATAAATATTTTGAAACCCGTTGTTAAACGGTTAAGTATACTTAATTTGTCATTCATAATTTGCTGGAAAAAATACATTTGTCTTTGCTAAATGTTTGTTTGTAAGTACATAAACCTTGAATGTATTTTTTTTTTGTAATTTGTATTGAATTTTTAACTTATAAGCCCCCAAAAATTTTAATTTCCTAATGCTCAGTTACCCTTAAAGTCAAAAAAACTGTAAAAGTAAATAAAGGTAGCTCCATAAAATTGTTATTGAAAGTGCTAAAAAGTTTTTAAATTTATAAGAAAGCCTATGGAAATGGTTTTGAGACTTTAAAATTCGTTTTACTATCACTAAACAAATTAAAAAATATTTTAGTAATTTATGTTATTATTTTTAGTTTAATTATGTATTTTATTACTACACAAATCAATAAAAATGACTAGATTTTTTAGATTAAATTAATATACTGTAAAAAACTAAATACTACATAGTCAGAAATATTACTTTAGATTAAGATACTTTATATTTTTCCAAATATTCCTGGTGATGTTTAATAATGTTTCTTTCTGATTTGATTTTAAACCAAGATCTCACCTGCAGAGTTTCGGAGCACCCGAAGACCTTCTCGCAAATCCTGCACTTGTAGCTGATTTCCTCGGCGGCAGTTGGATTGTAGACTCCAATACCTCCAATTGCTCCACCACTGTTACTACCGACGGCTGTGTTGACCAGTGCTCCTCCATTTGCCATTTTGGGCATCATTCCGACGGCTTGCGTCTGCTGATGAACCGAACTGAGACTCAGATTGGTCACGGTGGTCAGTGAGATGTTTGTTGCTCCCCCAGCGGCGGAACTCATGAGTAGATCCCTTACTGGACGCACCGAACCGCTGGAACTGCTGACGGAGGAGGCGGCGGGTGAGATGAGGGGCGTGGCCTGCTTGTAGCCACCGGCCTGCAATCTTTGGTAGTAATCCAGGCACTCCAGGCAATCGGGTCGAGTGCAGGCGGTGCTTTTGGGACGCAAAAGTGGAGCGTTATTCTGTTGTCCATTAATCACATAGGGTGCAAAGAAGCGTTTCTGCTGCGGATTCGGATGATTCTGATGATTCGGGTGATTCGGATGGTAGGGCGATGTGGGTGGTGTACTGATTCCCGAAGCCGCCGCTGCAGCTGCCGCATAGGCGGGCAATAAGTGCGGGAAGAACTGGGCATAAAACTTGGTGGCATTGGCCATGGCCACCAGATCCGGTGGCAACATGGAGTAGCCTCCATAGGGTGAAGATCCCACAGGTTGTGGACTCCTAACAGTAGTATTAATACTGCTACTCTTTGAGAGATCCAGTATATTAGTGCTCGTATCCTGACTGGGTTTGCGATCCTTGCCCAGGATTTTACTTATACTAAAGTCGGTCACCTGAACCGGTTGATTTTGAGGATTGGCGCCCAAATTCTGGACTCCATGGTGGATGGGTGAAGTGCGGGCCGGCGAGGGTGAGAGATCGTAACTGCGCTGCAGCATGGCGTGCTTGAAACCCATTCTTCTTCTACACGGCGACGAAGAAGAATCACTCATAGACTACCGTTTTCCGGAGGGTTTTCTACGATAGCTTTACGGGATCTACAGAGACGTACTGTCGCGTTACGCGTCTAAAAACGAAATGTGCTGGACTCACGGCTGCTTTGAGCCGTCATCGTCTTTTTGGCCAGGCCTAAAGCCGCGCTCTCGAATTTAATTGGTCGAGAAACGGGTTTTTCTCTCTGAAAGACTCTCCTCTCGATTCTCCTAACCAACTTTGACTGCTGGAGACAAAGTGTCGCGCCTCCAATTACGAGAGTAGCTGCAATCTGCAGGTCGAGAATCCAGAATTCAGAGTCCAGAACCATTTGGTAGTAGCGTTCTACTAGTCACATCTATCATAAAGCTTATCGCCAGCCGAAGATCTCTGGGATCCGCTCTTCTTCTCTCTTTCTTTCGTACTTCTCCCGGTTCCTCCGCTCCGAACTTCTCCTCCTGATAAAGTGACTAAGATTTCGTTTTGGGCCGCGTTGTTTTTGTAATTAATTGCGGTAATAAAATGTGCGCATCGTTAAATTTTCAAAATGTATTTCTCTTGTTCCTCATCCACATTCTCATCCGCATCCAGCGCACATCCACCATCCGCATCCACATCCACATCCTCGCCCGAATCCGATTCCGTTTCCCAGGCATGTGTGAATCTTACGGTTATGCGCATGCGCAGCGATCATCTTTTCGAGGTGACTCGGTTCGTCACGGCACAGTTTTTTTTTTGTTGTGTGCAAGTGTGGGAAGGAACTGATAACTAAGATGCTATGGAATCCAAACTAGATTATGTAAGAGAGAATGTTAGAAGAAGAAGAGTCTTGCGAATATAGAAAGATAAAGTGTTCCAATAACTTCTGTCATAATCGGACTAAACATTAGTTTTCGACTTTTAAAGCGAAAAATATAATTTCGTAGAAGTTTGTATTCAGTTATCGTAAGGCTATCATATAATATTTACTTTTCAAAACATTCCAAAGTAAATTACAAATTCTTAAAGCAACAAATCTAAAAACAGTTTATAAATTTCAAAAATTATATTTAAATTATGAATAAATGTGAGTACGTTTCTTCCATAAAATAAATCGGATTAATTATAATTATAATTTATTTAAAAAAAAATCTTTTTACTATAGTCCCTAAATGTTTCTCTCAGTTTAGGATAATTTAGGGACTTTAGTAATACGATTTTTGAATACATTATAAGTATATTTTAGTAAGAGGTTTAAAGTAAATTAAAATTAAATATTAAATACTAGTTATAAATAATGATCCTTTTTGATTGCTGAAAAATAGTTTAATATTTGGTTACATCTTACGGCTTAGAATGACATAAATACTTCCTTTAAATTCTGGCCATTAAATCCAGGCCCCATTACAAGTAAGACCAAGTCAACTTCTTTGACTTGCATAGCATCAGTAGCGACTATAAAAATGTGCAAAACAAAATGCTCGAGTCCAAGTGATTTGTGATTGGACGAAGCGCTCATAAATAACAAGGGATCCCAAAGTGGAGGACTCCGAGGATGCGCAGAGGATGGAGTAAGACCAAAAGATGGTGACACACAAGCAGAATTCAAGGAAGCTTCTGAAACAAATGAAGTGGTATACATTTACAGCTACATGGAACGGAGGTGCATTTCTGACTCACAAGGATGAGAGTCCCGCTCTTAATTGCCAATTACCGAATAGAGTTTCTAATGGTCGCCATGGTTATGCAATCTTGTACACGATTTGTCCGTGATCACTTACAAAACGATCTTATCAGCGAAGAAGCACCTGAAAACCTGAAAAACCCCTCCTCCCCAAGAACAGTGGCTAACAGATCCTCGAACCCCGTGATTGATAATATTTGGACTGTCAACACGCGCTGCTCGCCTCGGTTACCCACGATCTGCATAAATTTCGATTAAACAGGCGATTCATTATAATTATATATATGTTTTTATAGGCGGACCAGCAAAGACACCACAAAACTTGTTCAACCTTAGTTGAAAAACTCTTTTTTCGTATTTCGTTTTTCGGTTCGGCTGGCGTTTCTCGGAATTCCGCCAGATTATTTACATATGCGAAGCGAAGGAAACTTAAGTTTTAATTACACTCACTAAATCATCGGACTTCTCCAGTCTCCGAGACTCCAAAACTCCAAACTCCAGTCGCCAGGAGACTTTGTTGCCTTTGTCGCATGACTAATGTTTATTAGCTGCTAATGGTTTGTTTTACAAAAGCTACGTGGTTGCCCCATACGAAAATCCCGAACCACTCCAAAACTGTTTCACCCGTTGACATTTTGACAAATTTCCAACTCCTTACTACTGTCGTCTTTATGGAGACGGGGGGCTTCGGGCTCCAATGTAAGCTGATACCTATCTCAGATGGTCAGATCTTCACGATTCCCCCCACAGAATCTTCTTCTTTGTTCACACTATTAATTTTCCGCTCGTTATTGTCGTCGGAGATTCTGAGTTCGGAATCATTGGGGTTTTGTTGGGGTGGTCGGCATTTATCTTATTCCGTGTGTGCGTTTAAAACTTCTTTGTGGAGCCTCTTTAATGTCATGTGTTATCGGTTAATGATCAGCCGCGTTGCCAAGTGATTTTCTGTCAGCGGGTGATCAACTTCGTTCTCCTTTCGGATTCCGTTAAATTGCCTTAGTTTAACTTTTGTTCTCTTCGCTTTGGGGTCTTTGGATCTTGGGTTCTTTGGACCTTCTCCTCAGCTCCTGAGCCTGATGTTATGTGTAGCTTGACAAATGTGTTGATTTGCCAAGTTTATTTCCAGCGATGGTCGGACCAACATTTTGGCATTAAGATTAAACGACCTTTTTGGGGTTGCTGATTTCTCAAGGTGAAAATAAAGTGCGATATAAAATTTAAAAGTTAAGGTTTTTCAGGTAAAAATCAGTAAAATATTAACACAAAATGTATTTTCAAAAATTGTAATATATTTTATATGATTAAAAATAGTTCATACAAAAAAATCAAATTTTTGTAAAAATTTCAATAATTGATACTAAATAATTTTAAATATTATTCCAATTTAAAAAAGAATTTACAAAAAAATATATTATTAAAATTGATCAAAAATTATAATTTTAACCACTAATAATCTAAAAATAGTCTCTTTATTTTTAAATATTTATTGTATGTGACGGCAATTCTTGAAAGTACTTAAGAAAAGGCCTAAATATCCATGCAAATTCTAAAGTAAAGCCCACCTTCGGAAACCCAAAAAAACCATCTAAACGCCCTACAACATTTATGTATTTGTCAGGCCACGGTAATAAAACTTAACCAGGGCCCTAACAACAGCATTTAGGAGGTGTTATACTATTGTCTACCCCAGATATAATTTATATGGATGGAATAAAAGTTCGCTGAAAACGAGACAGAGACAAAGGAGAGTAGATGTTCATGAATTATATATACAGATCCAAAGTGGCTATACTATATATATACGAATGCGAGGCGTATGGCTCGGCGATGTTGTAGATCACAATCATTTCAATTAATTCGAATATAAAATACGAAGTGGAGACGGCGGCTTTTGCAAAATGAACCGCGTGCGCTCGAATATATCAAATTTCAATATAAATGAGCCACAAGCATAAATCAAGGGAGGTGACCCCTTGTTTTTTAACATCTTAAATCCCCCCATGGACCCCCCAGATCGAAACAAACACACGAAAGTGAAGAAACGAACACGCCCGAGATCGTTTGACTTTTAATGCATCCTAAAAACGAAAAAATCCCAAATTTAATGGACTGACGAATAGCTGTCAACGTCTTCGAAGGGAACTTTCTTTGCTCTTAAAGTGTAATTTATTTTATTTTTACAACAATTCAAACGAAAACAAACAAGTAGACAAGTGGAGTGAGGGGGATAGAGGCTGAAAGTGAGAGGGAGGGCGATACTAAACATTTAATCGGACGTTAATTATGTTAATGAAAACACATTTCAAATGCAAGAATTAAAATCAAATTTTTCAATTTAAATTCGATCGCATCGCATGGACCATTTTTATTCGAAAACACATTTCATTGGAATCCCAATGGGTGAGCGGGATGGCGATTGAGTGTGCGAGCGAGACCGGCGACCGATCTGCTTATTGAGAAATTGTGTGGAGAATAGTGATAAATCTTTGGAAAGAAACAACCAAACCAACAGCAAAACCAAACCCAACGGGGAATAAATGTTTCTTCAGTCGAGGGGAATGCAAAGTTGTCGCCAACGCAAACAGGTTGTTTGTGCTTGCCGTTGTTGTTGGTCGTTTGTGTCCGAAATTGAACGATTAACTACAAATTTGAGCATAGATTAAACTAAAAAGACACTGTAAGAAATAATAGTATTTACAAAAAAAGAAAAGAATATTTTGAAATAAGCCATTATTTTGAACTTAATAGTGATATTTTCTAAATTTTAATAATTTAAATAATTTAAATGTATTGATAATTTTACCTTGGATAAACCTTGTTACTCTTAATTTAACAAAAGAAAATAGATTTTTAATTGTTTAAAATAGAGAAAAATCTGTTTGGTAATAATGTTTAATCAAATCTAATTTTTTTTCTAAGGTAATGTATTTTTAGATATTTTTAGATTACCGAGATAGTTACGATTTTTTTTTAGAGTCAATGTTAATTTTGTTTCAAGCTACCATATTTTAATTTATCTCCCTGAATTTCTTCTAGTGCAGTCTCCTAACAACAAAGCCAACATTTTTCGCAATAAACTTTAGTGGTCCTCGCCACACATTTAAATGCGCTACATTATTTTCTCATTAAGATCTTGTGGCCCGGACCGCCCAGATGTTTTTGGCTTCCTGAGCAAAATCAATCAAATCTTTAACGATGTGACAGGTTAACAAGTCTCTATATCTGCCGAAAGGAAAACGCCCAAAAAGCGGTGATCCATCCACTAGCTAAAAAAGCAAACAAACTATATGTTTTAGTAGACTTGACTTGGTTTGGTGGTTTATGGCCTGACTTTGATGGCGCCGACGAACGGAGAGTGCGAAATTTGCATAATTTAATTATGAGAGTTCTTTGTGCGAAACTATTTGGGTGGTGCTCGGT